AAAAATGCAAAAAAAAAAAAAAAAAAAAAAAAAAAAAAAAAAAAAAAAAAAAAAAAAAAAAAAAAAGGTTTTTCATTTGTGGGCAATTACAAGACGCCTCCTCTTGGATCTATCGCTACAATTGGAACGCTCAAGAAGAGATTTCAAAGCGTTTTGAAGGAAGTGGAGGGACTCAAGGCTGTGGTGGTGGTTGGCGGCGATAAGAAGAACATTGCGAATTCTGCCGCCCACAGTGACGATGTCGGCCCTCACAGTCTTCAGCTGCAGCGAATTCAGGATGTCGTTCAGCTCCGGGATGAGGTCCGACCTGTCCTCGCAGCAAAGAGAGGCCTTGAAGAGGAGCCGTCCGTCGTCCGATTCCTCGCCGGAGAGCACGCTGATCTCGTCGCTCTCGGAAGGGAAGGTTTCCAGCTCCGCAATGTCTGCGGTCTGATGCTTCAGCTCTTTTACTCGCTCTACCACTTTTGCCAAAAGCGATGCCTTGTCGGTCTGATCAAATTTGTACCCATTATGCCATTGCTTGTATCTCTCAATTCAACAACACTTTATTAGAAATTAATATTTACATTACCTTGGAATTACATGGAAGAAGAGTCCGAAGCTTATCAAGATGAGAGTTGATTCTCTCTCTCCTACGCTTCTCAGCTTCCTTGTGATTCTTCAGCGCCGCCAGGGCTCTGTCATGGGGCGACGGAAGCGCTGTCTCGGTGGCTGCCGCCGCCGACTCATTCAAAGGGAAATAAGAGGATGAGGTGGACAAGCTTTGGGCCGCCGGAAAGCTGCAGGATCCGGAGCCGCCCCTCTGCCTGAACCCTTTGTTCTGGGCTAGGAATCTGTAAAGCTCACAGCTTTCATCCGCCTGCATCATTAGGTTTTTCCTCAAAATATAATTTTTTTTTCTTTTTCTTCTTACTGAAATTTGCTAAAGTGAAACTGCGTCTGGGGGAAGCTTTCGGTGGGTTTTTATAATTTATTTCCCCTTTTTCTTTTTTCTTTTTTCTTTTTTCTTTTCTTATATAATATTATTATTTGTTTCTCTTATCCACAACTTGCAGTTAAGTACTATTGTTTTCATTGAGTAAAATAAAAAACCATGCTACACAATTTCATTCATAAGAAGATCAAATGTCCTCATTGGATTGATTAATATTGAAATTAAGGGCAGATTCTCACTCAAATCCAACTAAGATGCCGTGGAAATATTTCAAAGTTTATATCCACATGGGTCAATTAAGGCCTTTAAAACGTGACCTTGGTCTTCATGTCTCGCCTAAGCCCATTAAATAAATTAATACAAATTGAAATAATAACAAAAACATAATTTATTTACCTCTACCCTATTAAATGAAAATGTAACTAACCTATTCAAATTATGAAACTACTTAAGCATGTGCCACGATCTCCGAGTTGTGATGTCGCTGTCAGCCGTATAAGACAGCCTTGCCTTTACCTGAAAAATGAGAGTAGCATATGATTTAAGTATTTTAAGAAATACTCCGTAAGCGACCCCTTATTGAGGTTACATGCAAACATATACAATTTCATGAACGGGACTTATCATAACAGTCTATTTTCCTACAGCGGCTATAGTAAACGAGCAATGATGTGTACTTAATTTTCCTCCGCACAGTTCACACATGTGAGTATGAACCCATCAGTCGGTTCACACACCTCTTAGGCCCCTTTCTGGTCAGACGAGCATTCTCTGGTAGCTGTTGATGCTGGATACCCATTAGGAATAACAATCATCTTGGCACCATTATAGTAAACATAATGATCGTTTTCCTGCATCGTAATGTACACGTTCGTACTATCGTGAAGGAGAAGGAGTATCCCCGATGCATAAGCACACAATAATGCATGAGGTCCCTACGTTTTTTTCATTTGCATTATCATATACTACAACCCCATCAACATCTTCCTTCATATCATATCATTTTATTATATCGTTTATCATATCTTCCATGTGTGTATCGGGGTTGTATTTCATGTCAATTAGTCATTTTGCATGTCAATCATATCATATCATTCATGTTGCACAAAATGTCATACCATAACATTTTCATGCTTCCAGACGTAACAATTCACATCATGCACATATCATATCATATGATATATCACAACAATCCTATAACATATCCCGAGCATGTCTTCAACATATTATATCTTAACATATCATATCATAAACATATCAATTCATCAAATACAGCATAGCATTCACGCATCATAACACATGCATATCATTTCATAATAGTTTGCATATATGGGCATATGACACGTGTCATCATAAAGCACAAAATTATAACCAAACGACGGTAGGGCTACTTACTTGGTTGGCCTTAGTCGACGTTTTCCCTAGTTCGAGTACATTAGCTCCCATTCCTCGAAATTACTCTCATCATTGTCAGTTGTCGTTTCCTATTAGAATATTCATCTCATTTCTTTAGTAATCTAAGGATTCTTAACTTAATTGAACTTAAATCGAGAGATTGAACCTTATCTGACCTTAATTGCCTTAAATAAGATCAATTTCAGCTTCGGGATGGTCGGGACGGTGGAAAATGGTGTATTTTGCTTTACCGAGCTGAGAAGTCCATTTTTGAGCCACCGAATCAAGTCGAGCCATTTAAGCCCATTGAGTTAAGGAGGTGTTTTGCTGCAGGTATGACACGTGACGCAATAAGAGACTGATGCGTGTGCAAGTTGCCTCAGGTCGAGGCTTGGGTCAGGTCACGGGTGCTGAGCTGCTACAGGCGTTGGGCTTTGCAGGTGGGCCAAGGTGATGGATTAGGCCTCAGGTGTGGGCTGCTGCAGGCCACTTGGGCCGAGTTTGTTAGTTGGGCTGAGGCGCTCGAGTGTGGGCTTGGTTTCAGTTGCAGGTGTTCTCGGCTTGGTTTCATTTCTGGCTGTAGAGGTTTGGGCCGAATAAAAAGTAATTGGTAACGGGTTATCTGTTGGTTCCCGATCCAGTCCGACCTGAAGTCCACGAACGTCGGCTTCCTTACCCGGTTCATGCTAAATTCCAAATGATTTTAATCACTCCTTCCGAGTGTCTCCGACGACGTTCTTTGTTGTTCCTCAACCCAGATCTACCTCCTTCTACCTTGTACAGTCTCGTTCCTTCCCACGCATTTGACTTCTCTCGTGGTTGGCTGCAAAATCAGTTTATTTCTTCCAAACTCCCTGTGGTTTTTCACATATTACCGATGATGAAAGGACTCAAAATGAAGATAGGCTTACCATTTACACCTTGGGATTACGTGATTATCTCCTTTGTAGCGTTTCTCGTTCTCTGGTTGCTCGAGGTTCCAAGTACTGTGTTGTCGGTGCTGGTTCACTTAGTACGAACGTTTCGTCTACCCTCGTTATTCTCTCTCTCCTTTCTCTCTATTTTCTTATAAGTGGTTCCCTAGGAAGGCTGAGGATTATTCTAGTGTTGTTTGGCGAGTCATGGGGATCGGCGAGAGTGTGTCCAAGAGGGGTGCTAGAATTCTAGCGCCAAATCGGATTTTTTTTTTTTATAGGGTCGTCACATTATATATTCCTAAAAAGAACTTTCGTCCTTGAACGTCTCGAATTCTTGCATTAACTCGAGGTATTTTTCCTTTATCTCATCCTCTTGTTCCAGCGTGGCTTCCTCCATTTAGTGGTTCCGCCAAAGTACTTTGACAAAGCCAATATTCCTATGGCATAAGGCTTTTACTTCTCGAGCTAGGATTTTAACTGGGTTTTTTTTTTCATAACTTGAGTCTTCTTCAATCTCAAGAGGTTTATAGTCTATCATGTGCGTAGGGTTCGTCATTTACTTCCTAAGCACAGATACATGGAATACATCATGCATACTCGAGAGTGAGGGTGTTAAGGCCAACTTATTCGCTACCGAACCTATTTGCTTTAGGATTTTGAAAGGCCCGATAAAGCGAGGACTTTGCTTGCCCTTAGGTCAAAACCTCAGGACACCCTTCATAGGAGCCACTTTCACGAACACCATGTCTCCTACCTCAAATTCCAAGTTCCTACGCCTTACATCTGTGTAGCTCTTTTATCTGTTTTGCGCGGTACACATTCTTGCTCTAATTTTTTGTATAGCCTCGTTTGTAATACAAACCAACTCGGGTCCCACCAGTTCTTGTTCGCCTACTTCATCCTAGCACAGTGGGGATCTACACAGTTTTCCATATAACGCTTTGAACGGTACCATCCTGATAGTTCCTTGGAAGCTATTGTTGTACGAGAATTCCATCAAGTGTAACTTTTTTGGTGTCTCAACTTCTAGTGAAATCCATAACACATGCTCGTAGCATGTCTTCTAGAATTTAGTTTAACCGCTCAGTTTGACCATTTGTCTGAGGGTGGAAGGCAGTGTTGAAGCCGAGGCGGGTACCCAACACTTTTTGGTCCTCGCCAAAATGTCGACATTAAACGTTGGTCCCGATCTAACATTGTCGACACTGAAACTCCATGCAACCTCACAATTTATTTTCCATATAGTTGAACCCAGTTGTCTACTGTATATGTCGCCTAACCCTGTAGGAAGTATGTCGACTTTGTCAATCTATCGACAATTACCCAAATTACTGTATAGCCCTTCAGTGTTCTGGGTAAGGCCACTATGAAATCCATAGCGATATTCTCTCACTTCCTCTTCGTTATACTTAGAGGTTGCAATATTTCCATCGTTTTCTGCATAGGAGCTTTTACTTGTTGGCACAGTAGACATTTACTTGCAAATTCCACTATATTCTTTTTCATACTTCGCCCCCAGAAGTGTTGTTTTAGGTCTTGGTGTTGGGTTTTATGTCCTAAAACTCATAGTTGGTAAATAAAAACATATTCTATTTTCAATAAAGTTATTATTGATGTTTATTCAGTAAAGATTGTTATTGAATAAAGTGAATTTTACGATTATTAATCTAAATCCAATAAACTAAGAATACTCTAGCTATAGTATGATTACTTGAACTATATGTAGAGATATAAGAGTGAATCAAGTTCAAGTATACAGTCAAAATGATCTATAGTACAGGGATAAGGCTGAGTACCTTATCTTGGGGACACTATGGATGAGGCCCACTTTTGTATATGATATAAACAATGTGATCACTAAATTGTACACGTGGAGATATGTGAGTGGGGGCGTCCTATGCAATGAGTATTGCATAAGATCGGACCATGAAGAAAATCACTCTCACTTTATAATACCGTTTACTGTTGAGACTGATTTTTTTACTCAATGACCTAGGTAACTTGACCTTAATTCTGAGCTAACTATGAACTCCTGTTTATTCAAAATTATCCTTAGATTTGCATGGGTGAGTGTGGCCCAAGTTCGCCGACTCAATAAGCCTCCTATTTAAAGGGTAAGACTGGGTGAATAGCTGGAGACATAGGGTGCAAGATAGAATTCACTCCTACCCGCTTTTAGGGATAGTAGAGAGGTTCCCTTAAGTACTGACTCTAGGTCTCGAACAAGGGGCCCCACCCTCTCATTGGCCTGAGAGGGATTCGGTTTGGTGGTTGGACCACAATTCAATTGTTCATTAGAGGATTAGTGGGACTTAAGGAACAAGAAATAACTTTAGGGGTAAAACGGTAAATTGACCCAGCTCTAGTTACGAACAACCTGTGAAGGATTGACTTACTAATCATGGTTATATTAAATGGATAGAAATATATCTATAGTGAGGGGAGTGCAACTACTAGGCTATAGTGGAGTGTCCTAGTAGTTAACCAATGTTGGTTAACAAGGTTAATGAGTTTAACCGGTTAATCTTGGATCGTTGGAGCCCATAATCTATAGGTCCATTAGGTCCCTCTGCTAGCTCATATCGGACTAAACCATAGAACAGAGTGACGAGTGAGTTCGAAGTGTTCGAATTCAAATTAGGGAATATGCGTTACATATATACGATATATTTAACCGCATTT